AGATTTTCAAAGGGTCAGATTTTCCGTTTTTCCAGGGGGAAAGTCGACTTTCGCCAAAATCGAATTTTTTAGCCGGGTGAACGTTGATTCCAACTATTTAAGCGACGGGCTATTCAGAACTCTCAAAAGTATATGAAAAAAGTGAAAACTGAAAAAAAATTTTTTTTTAGATTTTCAAAGGGTCAGATTTTCCGTTTTTCCAGGGGGAAAGTCGACTTTCGCGAAAATCGATTTTTTTAGCCGGGTGAACGTTGATTCCAAATATTTAAGCGACGGGCTGTTCAGAACTCCCAAAAATATGTGGAAAAAGTGAAAACTGAAAAAAAAATTTTCACCGGAGCCCAAAGTGTCATTCTATTGTAGTGTAGTGTAATGACACAAATCACAAGTCATCTACAACAAAAAAATTATTTTCGAACAAAATTCCCCCAGCCCCTCATCATCTCCACGAAAACCTCTGCCACAATCATCGCGCCGCGCGAGATGACAACCTCAAGCCCATTGTTCCCGCCTGTTGAATGGGTTTTCCACGTTCCGAACATACGCCATCATTTATCGAAAAGCTCTTTCTCAGTATCAAGTGCTCCACGAAGAGTTCTCCAACGGACAAAAGAAACTCTCACAGACAGATCGAACGAGCCCTCCCTCTCCGACACTTCACGGTGACGGGAGAGGCATCTGAAATATCAGACACTCCAGGAGTGACGAAAATGTACGTGCGATTGACTCCAGCAATTAACTGAAGACCCTTCTTACCCCTAAAATCTCATCGGAAGCCTTTCGACATTCAACTCTGAGGGACGGGGAAACGAACTCACGAGTGGAGAAAGTGGCGATGGGAAAGTTGCTCGACTAATTACAATTCCTCGAATCAATTTGGATCTCATAATAGGGGCTCAATTAATATTCATCTACGAAATTCGCGGGCCGTTCCGGGGNGGGGGGGGAGCTACCGGGCCTTTCTGATTGTTGGCATTGTCATGGCTCGGGGGCAGCTGATGGGGTGGAATGGACGAGACTGGATTTTCAGGATCTTCATTAGTACCTGTGAATGGGTAATTTCGATTATCTCCATTCTTTGGTTTCATCTGCTGTATTTTTGCTCCCGAATGGAAGCAATCCTTGTAATCTAAAAAATCCGGCAATGCAATTTTTAAACGTCGTCCGTACGTGTGTGTGTGTGACAAAGATTTTCGTCAATTGTTCGCTAATGAATGGAAGGAATTGTTGAGCCCCATCGATCGCCATTAATTAAAATTCAATTCGTCGATTAGTTTTTTTAATTTTCTCATTTTTTCGAAAATCAGTTGTCCCGCGATAACTAAAAAAATGTTCTGACTTGATGGAATGATGGCTTAAAAATTTGCTTGGATGTCCTTTTGACCGAGTTCGAAGATAAAGGCGATAGCAATAATCGTTATTCTGATTTATTTGAAAATTTGCAAAAATATTGGATTTAAAAAAAATTAGAATTCCGGGGATATCTTTGAATATCATGCTTCAAACGTTTGCTTCAATGCCATTAAGTCGCAGTTAAAAGATGATTACGATAGCGATATTGGTTGATTTGATTTTTATGACGATTATTGAAAATTTCGAATTTTTCATGAATTTCCCTGAGAGTGAGCTTTCTGATGATTTCTTCAAATGTGATGTTTCAAATTCATTCAAGTATGTGTAAATAAAATTTTCTATCAACATTTTATGGAAGGACTGAGGGGAGAGATAGAACTGTAAAAAAGACAATCGGTTGGATAGAAGAAAGGGATAGTAAGAATAATCATGATTTTCTCTGCAACTTATGCTCACGAAGTTTTGAAGCCAGAAGACTTTTTCGCGACAAAATATATTCAGTTCTCCACGAAAAATCCCACTGATCTGAAAAGTTGATAAGTTTCCGATTCTCCGCGCCAAGTTTCGAGAGCGAGAGAGAGAGAGAGAGAGAGAGAGAGAGAGAGAGAGAGAGAGAGAGAGAGAGAGTGTGTGTGTTGACCGGAGAGTGGAAAAGTCAGGATGAGAGCAATCCCCGTGGGAGCAACACTGGACTGACCTGGCTTGAAGGATTATACGGTGACCGTAGACGGGGGTTTCATCCCTGCCGAGAAGGAAAACAATGTCCGCGGAGTCCTTGTCCTCTGAGAGTCTAGCCAAGTCCTCGAGGAGCCGGGGAACACCAGCAAGACCGGCTTCACCTAAGACACCGATTGAACTTGTACTTGCACCTACGCCGACTGCTCTAGTGCCCATTTTTACTCAGTCTGGAAGGGAAAAGAAAGCGTGAAATATGGAGATGAATATAAAAACTCCTTAGGATTTTGGATGTGGAAGAATATGATGGGGTAAATATTTACTTCTTGGCCATTTTTTGTAAAATTTTATTCAATAGAAAATATTCATCTTGATAAATGTCTCGTGAGGATTGTACGTCATGGAGCCACGAGTAAAAAACCATTTTATTCGTCATAAAAATCCCTTGAATATTCCCGATTCTTGTCTACTCTTAGTGTTTTCATTTTTAGACGTGAGAGCTTTTTTCAAATGAATTGATGACAATTCTCGATGTGTGATTATCACTTCACTCGTCATCGGCGAGTGCTCCCAACCTCTTCGCCAATTTCTATTGAGAATCCTTCAGCTTTTCAGTGCTTTTTATCAGTAGAAATATTCAATAGAATATATTTGATAGAAAAGAATCAATCAATTTATCATCATAACGAAATATATACAACTTATTCTGTTGGCATTTATTGATATGTAAACATCTTGGCTCTCGTTATCGAAATTTAGTGGTAGAGAAAAACCCAACGGAAGTTGCGCAGTCGACCACTGCGCATGGAGGGAATACGATGCCCACAGTAATGTGTCAATTTAAATATCTCGAAAACTATTGACAAGTCATCGAGACATTCAGTGTGACAAATGCAGGGAATTTCATAGCAAATAAAATGGTTTTCAACTCACATATCTACGAGTCGTAGTTCTCAGGATGTGGACGTTTGTGGATGGGAGCGAAAGGTCTTACGCTACTTAGTTTTTTTTTTTTTTATTGTTTAAAGTGCTCAAATCTACATGATTTATTTACACTATGGGTTGAGTTTTAGTCTATATGTTAACATATTTTTACAGTTGTACTCTCGAATTTATTGATTTCAACAATGGAGTGATCGAATTTGAGATCGGAATTTTAAGCCGCTTCAATTCTCTTATTAGTGTTAGCCTCTCTTTGCTTAAGTTGGGGCGCTACTTAGTTTAAAAACCATTTTATTCGTCATGAAAATCCCTCAGTTCTTCCGGTAGATGTCTAATGATCGCATTTTTAAGAGCAAAATCTTAGAAATTCCTTGAAACTCTAGACTCATGCCACTTTACGCATTCATCGACAAATCGAATCGCTATACAAGGAAACTGTTATTTAATTCAAATTGATGATTGAACGGGGTAACCCTGTGAAATAGGTACAACGCAGAATACAATGGGATACCATTAAGGCCCCCTAATCCGTAATTGATCGGTGAGGGAATGGTATCGAGTAGTAACACTACCGAGGATCGGTGGGAATTCGTGACCGATGACAGTGCCTAATGGTTCCGAAATACCTTGTACACTGGCCGCGTCATCCGCGCCAACATATCCACAGTGTGGTGAGTCTCCCATGGTGTAACACAGGTGGAGATTAAATGGAAAAAGCCCGGTTGAAATGAAACCGATTAAAAGGGAATTGTTGCCAATTGCGGGATTAATAGTTCATTAGAGGGCGCGTTTAATTTGCGAGTCAAATGGACATTGGTGACGATTTTTCCCAGCCTGATAATCCATTCGGACATTTGAAATCAGCATATGCACTAGGATTTTAGAAGCATTTTGAAGTATTTATTCATCAAATTTCAACTGTCTGGAAATTTAAGACCCTAAAAATGACTTAAATTTACCGACATTAAAGTCCTAAAAGAGGAAACAACAGTATCTTAATTTCAAACACTAATTCTTCTATTGAATTATCCCAAGAATTCCTCCAAACTAAAAATATTCAGGTGTAGTTTTATTTGTAAATACTCACGTGTACTTTGTTGTGATTCTCAGTGAAGGCCGACCGCGTCAAGTCATTATCACCGGCTCGACCGAAATCTCGCACTTTTCCCTCACCCAATGTTATCCACTAAATTCACTCTAGATACCCCCAATCAACCACTTTTACCGTTTTTTAGTGTCCGCACTGACACTAAAAAAATTTAATATAGAATCCCATTAAAAAAAAAAAAATCTTTACGAAATGAATTGCTTAACAAACTTAATTCTTCTATTCAACCCCCTTTCAACCTAATATCAACACTTCCTCCGAATCACCAGAATCACATCATACATTTATACGAATCCCCCTTTCCCCGAACCACCCACAATAGGGTAATACCGCACAGGTATGCTTGCTCTCCAACTCGTCCCTACGGAGCACAAACTCCTGCGAGATCGTTTTCACAAGTGCACTGTTGCCACATCCCCCTCTCCACACACATGTATCGCCCTCAGATGTATCGCAGAGCCGCAAAAAGGACGCTTCCTACTGGTCCCTGAACCAACCCGTGAGTATATCGACCTCGAAGAAGGTCGAAAAAGCAGAAGGACAAGACCCTTGATCACTGAAACCCCGAGTATTCAGTCAGAGAATCAACAATACGCTCGACAATCCAAAAATTCGGCCGAAGTACACGTGATCCGCCTCGACCCAAGAGATCCCTAACATCATTTTTTTGGTCCTCCGACCGAAAAGAAATTACTGAGGAATCCGATTCGATCTTCAACGGCATTCGTGATGTTCCCCTTCAGGCATGTCTCCCTCTTTGTCTTTCATTACCATTCTCATCCTCTGGTAATCAATATTTTCTTTATTACCGACTGGTAGTTAAACAGATTTGATCGATAGATCGATCCGTCGGTACATCAGACGCATCATAACGTGAAGACGTCTCTAATTTAGAAATTTTATGAAGCGGTTCGTTAATTTAATAATTTAATTGCCCGAAACATCAATTTAATTCATTATAATCGGACATTAATTTTAGTAAAACATTTATCAAGTTCAATTATCAGCGGAATTATTCATTTCAAGGGATTGTTATTTTCACCTATTTTATTTTTTTCAATTATATAAATATCTCTTGCAAAGATAATGTATCAATTTTTGTTAATATAATTTTTCCATCTGCTTTCTAACCGCATTAACATCCTCTAATAAATGTTTTTCATAATTATCAACTGATGGTAAAACAGAGTCCCCTGATAGATCGCTGTGCCCCTCGGACCATTTTAAGTCTAGACATTCTATTCAATATTTAATTTCATTTATTTCGTAATTTTTTCATTAAAAAATTGTTATTCAACACCAAAAAATGAGAAAAAATTAATTTTCAACACCTCTAATAATCAATAATTCTGTCATAATCGACCGATGATAAAACAGATTCAATCGATATATCGATATACCCCTCAGTCGGTACATAATAACATCAAAAGTTCCCCGATTTAGCGGTAATCGATGGACATTTCAAATTTAACGAGCCGTAAAATGTAATCAACCCCATTTCACGAAGATTGGGATTAACAATGAGATAAAATTGTGTTAAAACGCGTGGCGACAGTAATTACACCGTCAAGACGTACCCTAATGGCTCCGGAATATGGTACCATCCCCCCCCCCTCCCGCCGCCCATTTTAGACAGATTTCCGGTTGAGTGACTAACGAAATTGTAGCATTTAACGTCAACGAGACCATATTGTACGTCAGTGAAATTAAGTTTTAAACAAGTTACATTCAACGGTATGTGACAGAGTCCATTGAATACAGTATAAAATTACAGGCACGAATTATTCGTGAATGCATGATTGAGGGAATGATAAACATGAATTTGTCAGGTTTTCGGTTATGGTAACGAATCCATCTGTATCAATTGTTTCCCACTCGTTATTCATCACCGAGATTCATCATTTTCCATTCGACAATTGAATCCGTAATCAAGCCTCGGGTAGCGCTGATTGCGCGAATGATTTTGAATTAACGGAGCATGCAAATAGTTTTCAAACGGGGAGGGGTGAGCGATGTTTTTCGTGAATGGGATATTTGCAGGTTACGCAATTTGTAGAGTGGGGATTGTATTTTCGGAAATTGTGACGTAATGTTTTCCTAAACATTCAATATTTACAATTGATTTTGTATCTGGAGTTTGTTTTGATTATCTTATCTGGCTTTGATTAACGTCTCAATACGTTCTGATATAATTTCCACCTCTCAGCTGCATTTTTAAGTGTTGAAGATTACATTATATAAGCCATTTCAGTATCTAATCATGAAGCCACATCTCCAGGTGTTGCTACTGTCTATGGACAGTTTTGTATGAGTAAGCGCTGCGCGCCTCTATCTTTTTGGTAGATTCTATCAAAGTTCGCTTGAGGTACAATTACCATTTTTCAACTGTATGTTTATTATATTTATACTGATAATTTATCATTATTAATTCAGGATGAATTGATAGCCAATTAATCATGAATAATTATTAAAAAGTTTGGAAAATGTTTGGGTTCAATTTCAACGTGATTTTTAACTTGAGACATTAAAAATGACTGAAATTTAGGCCGAAACTGTCTCAATTTCAGACACTAGTTTTCTAATTGCAGCGGCCGCAAAAATTACTTTCAACTGTAATGATCACACACATAAATTCACGTTGATAATTATCACGTATAATGACCCTTAGTCGCTTCGAATCCCGCACAATTGGCGACAAATCAACAAATGGGAAGTTGTCACACATGCGTGAGAATGACACACAAAAGAAGTATTTTCTGTACGACTCGGTACACATCGACAATGTCGTTGGTGTGAAAGGAGAACTTTGTCTCATTATCATTCATAATAACTGAATGTAGCAGTTGTACGGAAAGGTAAGAATTACCAACGAAATGCATCATCTTTCAGCGTGCATTCGGTGGCATTTACAGGAAATAACAGGCCCAGGCCATTGTGGCAGGACTTCATTGACGCCTCACTCCTCACTTTTTTTATATCCATTTCCTCTATTCCTCGTTCGTCACCACTCTCTCACAAACAGTCGGCCATCTCGTCACAACTGCGGAAAAGTTGTACCCTCGCCTGCGTAATGAATAATTAGAATAAATAATAAAGTGGTAAAAGCCTTCTTCAGTGCGGAAGTTTCAATTGGATCGCAATTATGATGTTGCGAGTTTCTGGGGAGAATGAGGATCATAACAAGATGTGGAACCAAGCATTAATTGCTGGTAAGCTGATTGTTCTGTACCATTATCATCATTTTTTGCTTCCAATTGGATACATTGCATTCGTCTAATCCGACATTTTCAATTTTTTGGCTCAGGATAACTAGTTTTGGTCTCAGGAGTTCGAATATGCTATTTTTAGATCGGTCTGGAAATTGGGGCAATGTTGGCTGCCAATGTTGGGGCAATGTTGGCTGCCAATGTTGGGACAATGTTGGTCGCCAGCATTGGAACAATGTCGTTTGCCAACGTTGGGGTAATGTTGGGTTCCAGCGTTGAGATAATGTTGGCTGCCGACGTTGGAACAACGTCGTTTGCTACTGTTGGGACAGTGTTGGGACAATGTCGGCTACCAACGTTGGGACAATGTTGCCTGCCAATGTCAAAATAGTCAAAATCGATTTACATCGTTTCACCATTGAAATTTTTGTTCCAATGTCTTAAATTAAGACGCCTCGAAGACACTAGTTCTCACACTCTTGATCCAACATTTTTTTCATCTATAGAAATAGATTTTTTCACGTTGAATGGGGGAGAAAATTACACGTCAGCCCAAGTTTCGTGACCTTTCCCTCGCTTATTCCGCTTCCTATTCACTCGCACAAATTTCTTTTTCGTTTTGTATTGTTCAACTTTCGTCACTGGCGTGCAGCCTTATCCGACCCATGCTATAATCCCCTCTCCTGTAATTCCATTCCCCGCGAAATTGAAGCGGGAAGCTTTTGTAGACGAAAAATAAGGCGCACACCAAAGGCTTTACCTTTCCTTCACTCACAATTTTTCCACCTTTTCACTGTTTCTCGATTTTATTTTCACCTTTTTTACCACCCACTAGTTCAAACGCTTACAATTCTGAATATTTGACGCCAAGGTGAGATTTTTTTTTCTCTCCCGCCTCTGGGATATTAGTTTCATTGTGCGGAGAGTAACCGTCGATTTGCAGGAGCGGAAATGTGAGAGTGAAATATGACCGACGCCTAGCTATTGCTGTATGACTTTTGATACAGCGTTTCTCGGGGTAAGCGGAGAGTTATGGACTGCACAATGCCATGGGGGTGATGACGGGGCATCCTGGCTTAGCGAAATAATTTTCGGGTATTGTGTATTTCATCGTGACGATAATCCCTGGTGTCATTTCCATTACGATGTCGATTCTAATTTTGATATTGGGCGGGGGAGAAATGGCGAAATGACAGAATGTCGACAGCAATTAAATAGTAGAAACATAACTTGATTTTTACATTCTAAAAAAAAGAATGGGAAAATCTCGAATGGAACATGAGAACTCGAACATGCCGGATATGTCGAACGAGTGGAGGAAGTAAGGCGGTTCTCATGAGCACAATTGTCGTGCGTCGAATTTTCATGAAGTTCACCCAACAAATAAAAGGGAATTGAATACCATTCTATGAAAAAAAATTAATGAATTCCAAACGACAGGTAATATGAGTGGAACCATTCTGGATGAGCTGGGGCCCAATCGGAAGTCTAGCATTATTGATAATAATTCACCTAGAAGTGTAAAAATACTACAAATGAGAAAATAAATTTTTCGGGGTTAAGAAGCAGATTAAAAATGAGAAAAAATCTCGAAAAATCAGAAAAAATGAATGAAAATTCTGGGCAGAAGTATGATGAATTTTAAATCAACTGAACATTCAGGAATATGTTTACCGGAATTTTTGCTGATTTCTACAAATTTTCTGGGACTAATTGAACTGAAATTCAGTTCTCATCGATTTTCCCGTGAAATTCTGAATAATTATAATGGCGAAATTTTTACGTGTTAGCACGCAATTTTTACATGCCAGTGATTTCTGCGAATCTGCAGCAATAAATCACAATTACGTGAAACAGCGTAATTTTTACGGGATTTCCATTCTACTTTTTCCGCAACTTTTTTCTCCGTGTACAATTCCACTATACAACGGTTTGGGGACAGAATGATACGCCATGGCATTTGCTTTTTCCCCACGGCATCCTCCCGCCACTATGATTCCAGAGTCATGTAGTGGTCGTTCGCGAATTTCAGAACGAAAGTGACGTTATAATGGAAGTGGCATTAGTGGTTTTACCACCCTATAGGATTGTAACGAGAATTGCTGGGAAAATTCGCGTCGCCACCTCTGGAAATTACGACGTGAATTATAATTCGTGGTTTCGCTGGATGCGGCGACACGGGGGGCGGAAAGGGTGACGCTGTTGGACAATGATTAATCAATCATTGGTTACCTGTCCCTGAATATTCACTGAGAAACTACATGTTCCACGTGAGAATATTTGATGGAGTGGAACAGATTTACTTGAGGAAAATTGACCAACTTGACAGAAGGAAATTTAATATCTTTCCCAAAAATTAATTTTTGTCGTGATCATCAGAAATATCCCTAGAGAAATTCGAACTGCTGGCAGGAAAAAATATAATCTATTGTACGACAATCATTTGATCTGA